AGCAATAAAGGGTAACATGAGAGAAGTAAGTCTGTTCCAGGCAATCAGGCTGTGGAGACAAAGAAAAAAAGCAGGGGTGAACAAGACAAAAGATGTGAGGGGACTTGCTCCATCTCAGAAAATTGGGGATTCTTCTTGTCCATTTTGTTCCCTTTCTTTCCTCTTTTCTTTTCTCACTAGTCTCCACCTTCCAAGAGTCTAGAGCAGTCAGGAAGGGAAGAGTGTCAAAGCTGATCCATTTTTTTTTCTTTTTCTTTTTCTTTTTTTTTTCATCTATATTCACCATGCTTAAATTGTTTTGCCTAGAACTCCTCAGTGAGTTAATACCGTGAGAAAATTAATCAATATGGCTTCATCTGACTTCCTTGAAAAAAAAGAAAAAAGGTATCATTTATACAAACAAACAGAAAATAGAAGGTAACTATCAAAACGTAAAGGTTGCAAGATTTTAAAGAACTTTATTCAAGAAAGGATCTTATTTATCTAGTTCAAGAATTCTTTTAACATAATCCTTGCAAAGATATGAAGCAGACATGTACAAAACAGAATTGCGTTTGCCTAGTCTGATTTTAAAAGGCTGTTTCCTCCAGAGAGAAGGAGTCCTATGCTTGGCTTGTTTGGCTGGTCTGGTTTTGTTTGACTGTTTCTTTCGTACTTTCTTTATTATTCAATTTTCTATTCTTTTTTTTCGTCGTTAGTGTCTCTTTTTCAGCTGCGGATGCAGTTAAGCTAACAATTCTAACCAACACTTGTATATATGTCAAATTTCCCATTTTCTATTTCAGCTAAATACTTAAAAAACCCGACAGCATTCTTGTGTTAGAATTGTGAAACTTTGAGTAATTGCTGATAATTGTTCCAAGTTGTTCAATCAATTTTTATAATTTCATATTCTACAAGCTACAACTGAGAGTATTGAAATATCATTTGGGTTGGGAACATTCCTTGTTGTAGAAGGTGCCTTGTAGTTGGTTTTCATTGGTAACCATAAGGTTTGTGGAGTGGGAATGGGGGGGGGTAAGTGTAAGTGTAAAGCAAACAAATTTGTTTTCAGAGAGGCCCTTAATCGTGAGAACTTTTATTTATAAATATACTCTGAGATTCACTGTTATTTGCTAATTTAAAAAAAAGCAAAAGAGAATTTATTGCATTTGATTATTGTAAATGTTCAAAAGATCTATTGTTAATTATGTATTGGTAAATTCTTTAAGCAAAAATTTGAGGAGGCGAATACTAAGAATTTAGTTTTAAAAAAATTGATAGAAAACTAATTTTATTGTTTCAGTTTCCTCATTCTAAGCGTTTGCTCATTTTCAGCATTTGAAGAGGCGAATACCATCACTTTAGTAAATGAAATTGATAGTATAAAGTTATGAAATAACTTTATCGTTTGTTTCCTCATTTTTCAGCGAGATTTGAGGTTGAACTGAACAATATGCCTAGAAAATTACAGAGAAGTCTATTAATTTATATTTATAAAGTTTTAAGTTCATGTATCATATTTGATGGTTTATGGCTTATTTTTCCGCAATTTTCTACGAATTTTGCCTTTAAGTGTTGAAAGATTTAGATTGGTCTGTAGTTGAAGATTGTACGGGTTGTCAGAAATGTTTTTTGGATATGATTACTTTAGGAAATCTCGCTTACCGACTCGCTCTTCATTGTTATATGTATCTTGTATAGGGAAGCAGAACCTTTTTTTTTTTTTTTTTTTTTCACGATAACATTTCTGCTGGTAACAACCTGTTTGGAAACAAATAATTCTTTGTCGAAGAGTGCAATTTAATTGAGTGTCGTAAAATCCAAACCTGCTTTCAGAAAGCATTCTGTTCCGTTGTTCTTGGCTGCTATTCAGCAGCTGTAATTGGTGCATTTCGGGGATGTGTTCCCTCAGCGGTGCGCTGTTTCATTTCTTTCCTGTTATATTTTTTTTTCTCGTTAATTGTTTTAAGTTTCACGTTTGATTGGTGGAGAGGGTGGCACGAGTTATCGTAGCCAATCACAGACTTACGTGTAGCATACCCAGTATAATCCCGGTCTGCAACTGAAAGCAATCCTTGGTTTTAGTCGACACTCGATTTTCCTTAACGGAAACTTCTGTAGTGAGGCTCATAAAAGATTCCTCCTACATGAAGAGTTACTCTTGCTATGAAGTTAACAGTTTATGTAAGAGATATCGTAATCATTGAAGTAATAAAAAATCTAACCGTTGCTGTCAGTGTTGCTCTGGTGTTATGTTAGGGATAAAAATTATACAGAATTTGCTCGTTAAAACTCATACAGCCTGCAATTAGCTTATGCAAAAGTCAATGGTAGAACAATCCTATGAATTCAGCTGAATTTTGCGCAGAAATTTCTGTTAGGCATGCAACAATACAGGTGCCGTACGGTGCCTTTCAACTGGAAAGGCCTAGTCCCCAAGCGTTGAATCACACCTCTTTATTTGCGAAAAAGTCTGGTAAAAGGTGAGCGAGGGTAAGCTTCACTTGTTGACGTCATATTTCATGAAGAAACTAAGAAGACCTGTTCCTTTCAAATTAGCGGTTTGCTTGATATGGGCCTTACAGTAATGACCATTTAATCCTCGGCGGCAGCTCACATGCTTTTCTCAACTCTCCGTTCCAACCAAACAATCGCTCACTAAAACAGGTAATTTAGTGTTAACAACTGGGTTAAAAACGTAAATTAGCCACCGTAAAGAGTAAAAAAGCTAAAGCTAGCTTTTTACTCTTAACGGTGGCTAATTCACGTTTTTAACCCAGTTGTTAACACTAAATTACCTGCTATACTCTCCCACCGACGCAGCACCACAGTTTCTTTAGAAACTTACCCCTTTGCTCATTAAACAGTTTCTTCGCACAAATTGATTAGTTGAGCGAGAACAAAGCTCATCTCATAAAGACATCCGTGCAGTTTATTTAGGGGGCAAACGACAAGGGATATCGCAGGGGTAGGATTCGGAAACAATGTTCGAAAACTAAAGAAAACATGAAGAAAAACGTTCTTAGGAAAAACAAAAGAACACTCATTCACACGCAAATAACAACTTGAATTGAACTACATCCACGCTTGACTAAGTGTGATATTCACGCTTGACTTTAAGAGGTGTGATTTTCCTAATAATAAAGTAAAAAACAAAAGACTTTTTCACTATTGCATAATTATTTGCTTATTCTGAAAATGAGATCTAAAGAAAAACAAACATTCTCCAAACGTGGCTAACATTACACTACTTTCATTTCAGACGCCTGCTTTAGAAACTTCAATAAACCCGAATACTCAACAAAACATTAGCTACAAGTGGTTCATGGGTGTATGTTCTAAACAAATTGTGGTGTTACAACGGTTGTTTCGGGCGTTAGCTCTTGTTCAGAGTGATTTAGAACATCAGCTATTTACAGCAAATTTGACGTTGCACAACTCCCATGTTACTCGTTTTACAATAAATCTGCTTGAATTTCGATTGTAAAGCTACAAACTAAATTAACTTAAGCTTTCACTTAAAACTACCGTTCATTACATATCAATCAGGTACATTACAGATATTTGGCTACAATAAAAAGTTACAAACATTTCATTGAATAAACCTCTAACATAACGGTTAAGTAACGAATGTGAAAGCGATCTTCGAAGTTATGAACACTACTTACGCAGTAGTGAAAATAAGGCCTGAAAAAAATTCATGCTTGTACGGGATTTGAACCCATGACCGTTGCAATACCAGTGCACTGCTCTACCAACTGAGCTAACGAGCAAACTTGCAACTGGGAGCAGGACATTATGTTGGTTCCAAATAAACCCCGGAAGTGGTGAATAAACGACTGTGAATATATGAAAGTCATTTTGAACTGCAGATAAAGACGTGAATATGAAAGCGATCTTCGCAGTTATGAACATTACTTAAGCAGTAGTGAAAATAAGGCCTGAGAGGTGGTCATTATGTTGTTCCCTAATAAACCTGTGAAGTGATGATTCAATAACTGTATATATATAAAATCATATCTGTGAACTGTGGTTTTAAGGAGTGAATTCGGAGTGATGAACACTACTTTCGCAGTACTGAGTACTAATAAGACCTGAAAAAAATTTCGGGTCTGTACGGGATTTGAACGCATGACCTCTGCCATACTGGTGCAGTGCTCGTAAGAAGTGTTCGCTGTTGTGAAGATCGCTTCTATATTCATTTCTTAAACCGCAGTTTACATATATGATTTACACATATTCACAGTCATTGATAACGGTTAAGGCTAACACCTTAATATAACAAGCACATCACAAAAAGAGAACGTTGAGGTTTTTTTTTTTGGTGGTGCACTTCGTTTATAACACGATGCTTACGAAGAGGTATCGCACCTGTTTGCGTGTCTAGAGCTTCCTAGGCTCGTGTAAGGCACAAAAGTACAGGTTTCATCTGTTAACCTCTCTGCAAGTCTCTAGTTAAAAGTGCATATAAAAATAACCACCCATTTTTACCTGGAAATGTGCGCGCACGAGAATTTCACGTCTGAGGTTTGTGATAAATTATCGGGCACCGCTCATTTATCTTTAAAAAGACGATTACGCTCGGAACGGAATGGAAAAAAAACATTTGATAAAACTCATAAACAAACTTTTCTTTGTCAAATTCAGATTAAGTTACACACCAATTGTTTTCCAAGTTATTATCCGAAAAAATCTCACCTCTGTAATAAAACTGGAAAAAAATCACACATAGTCTCGCGAGGATAATTAATTAGCATGTCCATGAATGATCTTACTACGTGTCACTAGTATATAAAGGCTTCCATGAAAATCATATTATTATGAGTAGAGCTCGCAACAAGAGAACATTTAGTGAACGTTCATGATGAAGCTCTGTCTTGTGATGTTAGCGGCCCTATTAACGTTTCCTCATTCTCATCAAGGATACAACAAAGATAAAAAGTAAGTTTCATTTTTCAAACATACGATAACATCCGAGCAAAGTACACCTATCTTTGCTTCGATTTCTACGCGCGTGC